ATCGGGCAAAATTCAATGTACGGAATGCACCGAAGGACGATACCATTAGAAAATGGATTCGAATGTTCGAGAATACAGGTTGGACTGCAAAAATTCACTCCACGCTCTGTTCGAACTCTACAAACGATTGAAGAAATAAAAGTGTCAGTGGGTGAAAAACTGTCTCAATCAGTTCCCAAACGCAGTCAAGAACTTGACATTAAAAAATCGTCGTTACAAAAGATTCTGAAGCAAAATTTACATCTTACAGTCTACAATATTCAGTTAGTTCAAAAACTGAACGTTACCGATTATCCTTTCCGACTGAATTTTGTAAATAAAATGCTTCAACGCTTTCCAAATTTCGAAAACATTCTGCTTAGCGAAGCGAACTTTCACCAACCACTACATAGTCCAAAAGTTATTGGATGGGCTGCCATGTTTGGTGAAGACATCTTTGGGCCTTCTTTTTTTGAAGACCGGCGAGGGCGAACATTTACGGTAAACAGTGACCGGTATTGTGACAAGTTAAGAAACTTTTTGGTTCCACAACTGCAAGAGTTTGATAGTTTTAATGTGGAAAGATGATTTCAACAAGCTGGAACCACTTGCCACACCTCAAACCAATCGCATGCGGTTGTCAATCAACTTTTCCCGGAAAAAGTGATCTCTCGTCGAGGCACCATCAACTGGCCTCCGAGAAGCCCCGATCTCACACCTTCTGATAATTTTTTATGGGGACATCTTAAAGAGAAGATGTATGCAAACAAACCACGATCTCTACTGTAATTGAAGCACAATATCCACATCAAAATGACTGCCTTTCCAGAGAGATGTTAGTTAGAGACATATTAGAAGCAGAAACAGACCTAAATTAGATTACTAGTCACGAGTAGTTAAGGATGTTCTAGTTTTAGGGAAATACGAAGATTATCTTAGGATAGAAAAGAGTAACCAGTCTTAGGACTGACGAGCCCATAATGATGATGTTGAATAAGTACTTGAAGAAAAGAAATCAAAACCGAAAGATCCAGAAAAATTTTCTGAATAATTTCAAGTTTCATGTTAAAAATTAAAAGTTTTAAATAATTGTTGAAGATGGAATTCTTATTATTCTTGTATTCTTCTACCAAAGGACACTGAGTTGCACTTCTTTTTCGAATTTTTGCAAATGGACAACTCAGTGCTTACGCTGTTCGTTACATATCGCTGTTCGTGTGGTCAGCTTCAATTAATTTAATAAATAGCTAAGCAATTTTTATTTTAAACGCCATCACTAACTTGATCACTTAACTTCGGCACCTGTACGTACAGCACCTCTTGTCATCTTAAACCTGTCGGCATCGCGTTACAACTCAAACCAAAACACGAGCATATTATAAAAGCACGACTTGTAGCTATTGTTTAAAATCATTATTAAGAGGTGCCATCTCACCTGCCCTTGTTCACATCAAGCAGCGTAAAAAGCCAAATGGATTTTTACGGCCGCAATTATAAATAGTCGACGTACATATACACGGGGTTGCTCACTTGTTATCCTGTTGATAGCATTACCTTAATATTCATAATATTAATAATCAACATCATCATCATCATAAGGTCGTAAATCCTAAGACTGGTTGGACATGCACCTCCACTCTTTCCTATCCTGAGCTAATCTTCGCATTTCACTAAATCTAGAACATCCCACATCCTTAATTATTTGTGAGCAGTAATCTAATCTAGCTCTACCTCTACCCCTCCTAACTCCTGTTTCTACTTCTAATAAGTATGTCTCTAACTAACCCATCATGCCTGAGAGGGTATCGATCCACTAAACTATCACGGTGCCCACATCATTTTGAACGTTTCTGACTCTTTTCCGTCCACATTTCGCACCCATACAAAGTCATCCATACACTTTTAATCTTTTTTCGAGTTTTTAAATTAACTGACTTCTTTTTGTTACACGCACTTTCATTTACTTTATATCTGTACTACTCCTTCCATCCCAAATTATCTGACTTCATCGATCTCAAAAATCAGCGACTTTATATTTACTCTTTCCCTTACTCTTCCTTCCCTTGCATATCAATATTTTTATTAATACCATATTGTTTTATCAATAACGCTTCCATTTTATTTAAGACTATCTCTAACTCCTCCTTGCTAGATGCTGATACTGCTATAGGTATCATCTGCAAATCTGAGCATACTAATCTTATAGATTTAGATACATAGATTAAAAAGTAGCGGTGTTAGGGTGCATCCTTGTCTGACACCCTTCCTAATATTTACCTGTCTACGTTGCTGCTCAAGTTCTATAACTGCCTGTTGCTTTTTATACAAACTATGTATATCACTCTTCTATCTCTGAATCCCATCCCTACATTTTTAAGTATATTTAACATATTATCCCATTGAACATTATCAAAAGCTGTCTCTAAATCTAGGATTCCTATATGTACACGCTCTTTTCCTTTTCTATCGTTTTCTCCATTGTTACCCCTAAAGCTAAAATAGGCTTCCATGTTCCTCTATTTCTTCTAATTCCAAATTGGCTTTCCCTTAATAGTTCTTCCGCCCTTCTTACCATCTTTCTCTATACGATTCTATACATAAGGTTTTTGTCACATCTATCCACGCCTCTCCTTTTTGGTATGACTACCACCATGTTTCGTTTATAGTCCTCCAAGACTTTCCCCGTGGTGGTTAACTATCCTAAACATACGATCTCTAAATTTTTTGGCCTACATGTTTTAATAAGATAATGCTTATATTTTTCCCATAGGATTCGAATACAACCTTAGGATGCATAAGTAGAATCCGAATATTACATCCGGTTACCACACAACTCTGATACCAGTCGGTACCGTTTCCTACTGCTTTGCTCCTTAAACTTTTATTAGATTATACATACATATAAAAGGATCTAGCATCCTTCAATCTTCATTATCTACAATACAGTTCAACGACAACGGGACTATACGGGTTATTTCGCGGAAATAAATCACCCTGTATGTTTCCCCGGTCCATGCACAGTAAAAGAAAACGGCCTGCTGCGTTTCTCCAGCAATTTACAGCCTGCTGCAGTATTTACTGCCACACGCCGTTCTCGTAAACTTACGCACACGTGCTGGGGCTATGAATACCAGACACAACATAAGCTGCAAATGCACCCAACTTTTTACAAACGTCGCACTGAATTTAATATTAGAGCGCATAAAACAAAATCAATTTGCATCTGAAAACAAACCACATTTACCACCTACAAACGGTAATTTTATGATTTATGGAAAACCCGCGCCCAGTTCAACTAACGCAGGGTTGGTAAAATTGAAAAACCGAAACTACCGAATTGAGTAGACACGAATGGTATCATGACGGAACACAAAATATTGAAAATTTTGATCTTTTTTCCTTTTTAACCCTTTAATTCGGTGTTTCCCAACTTTTTTGTAAAATTCTTATGCCCCCCCCTCACCCGTGGGAAATTATTCACTAAAGAAACTTAAGTTTCAAGAAGAAGTTACTAGGGAATCCTAGAGGAAACATAATAACTACCATTTCAAAATGTAATCATCATCATCATCATAAGGTCATCAGTCTTTAGACTGGTTGGACACGTACCTCCACTGTTTCCTATCCTGAGCTAAACTTCGCATTTCCCTAAAACTAGAACAGCCCACATCCTTAACTATTTGCGAACAGTAATCTAATCTAGGTCTACCTCTACCCCTCCTAACTCCTGTTTCTGCCTCTAATATGTCTCTGACTAGACCTTCATGCCTGAGAAGGTGTCCTACCAACCTATCTCGCCTATTTTTTTATTGACTTCCATAGAGTCCTCTGTTCTCCTATTCTTTCTAATACCTCTTCATTTCTAACCTTTTCTACCCACGATATCCTCATCATCCGCCTATAACACCACATTTCGAACGCTTCTAACCTTTTCTTTTCCGCCGCTCCCACTGTCCATGTTTCACACCCGTACAACGCCGTGCTCCAAACATACACCTTTAACAATCTTTTTCGAATTTCTAAATTAACCGTTCGCGAGCATAGAAGAGAATAATAGAGAACTAAAATTCAACTAGCAAGAAATATCAGCAAAAGATTATTCTACAATGATTTTCCATTATTGAAGGGGGAGAGGTACCCCATGATATCAAATTGGTCCCATATAGACAATCAATGTAAAACTACTTCTGTTGAAGAAAACGAATTTCACTTTCGGTTTCCGTTAAAAATCTGCTTTCTCATGCAAGATAATCAAGTTGACAAACAAGATTTATAGAAAAATTATTTCTTTTTTGTTGTAATACCATAAGTTTCTGCATTGTTTACTATTATATTTCTTATCAATTCTTTTTTAACCTTGCATTATTTTGTTTGTTAAAAGGTCAAATTATGCGTTGGAGAAAGGGTCAATTTATGCACTGGAGGACGGGAAATTATCGAGTTTTCATAACTTTCGACACTATTTTCTTTAAAAGTAAAAACAAGCTCAAATGTATGACAGGAAATTTGAATATTTAACATAATTATCGTGTCAATGAATATAAAATTTTGTGCATAGAAGAATTATTTAAAAAAACGTAAGTATTAGATTAAATGAGCAAAACCAAGACTTAACACGTAAAACCAAGACCAAAACCGAGACTATATCAGCAATATAAAGGCAAGACTAAGAGTAGAAGTATTTGACAACACCAAGACCGATACCAATACTGGGGCAGCGTTGGTCTTCGTCTTGCACTAATGAAAAACATCGAAACATATAAAGTGTTGAAATCGCCTTGTATATAGACCTTTTTTGTTCCTTAAAATTGTTATTAACATTTCACTTCAAGGAAAAGATAAAAGCTAAAATACAAGCTGCTTTCAAATCGATTATTCGCAAGGCCTTCTGACAAAAAGTTACTTTGTGCGTTTTGCAGACAGTTACGTCTTCTCTTCTTTTTTTCTTATCATAATTCGGCCAATCGCAACGATATGTTCTGTTTTATGAGCTGCTCATTACGTATTGTCCATTCAGTATTTTTTTGAGGTTTACGATATTTGCATTTAAATTGGGGCAATCACTACTAACCGCGGTAGTGCGATCTGAGTAGGGGTACAAACTATGTCAGGGGTCATCTCTGTAATGCAGATCCGAGACGAACGATTTTAACAAACTGTTTGTAAACATATTATTAGACGTCTCAAATGGCTCGAGGGTCTCTAATTTTCAAAATAACTGTGATATTTAGTTTTCTAGTGACAAAGTGCTACAACTTAAAACATGAAGTGAGTAAATTCAAAATTAATTACTTAGTATTATATTTTCGTAAGTTTTGTTAAGTAAAATTGTGGACACTCAATATTCTTTTACATTTGACCAAAAATGTGAAGTGGTAAAAATTTTGGTTAAATAATTTTTTTGTAACTATCTCAAATTAGGGCAAACATACATACCCATTAATGTAATAAAAATTCGAAGAAGAAGCAATACAATAGAGTAGTTTTACCAAAATTATTTGTTGTACTTGACGATTGTTTCGAACTAAGCAATCATCATCAAGAACATTTGTTACTGTATTTAATCAATAATCACATAAAACGAAATAATTGTCGAGTACAATAAATTTAAATTTTTCGTGAAACTAGTCCACTGTATTCCTTTTTCTTCGATTATTTACTTAATTTATGATGTTTCACAAAAAGTGCATCCGAGAAAGTTTAAATATTAATAATCAAATTTAATGGCAATTTTTATAAAAAATTTTTAAAATTGCTTTTACTTTTATATCTAATGATTACACTAGATTATGCATCTTTGGACGAACGCAAAAATTGTCCCCATTATTGCACAAATTTCAAATTATTATTTATTAGTTATTAGAGAAACACGGGGCAAACAATAATAATAATAATAAATAAGAAAGTGTTAAATTTGAAAAATTAAATCGATAAGAAAATTTAAATAAATCAAAGTGTTAAGTGGCTAATTAATTGCTTCATCGCCTTTATTTCAGATTCTTTAAACTCCTCAATATCCATTTATTTACCGTAGTTACTAGTCAATATAGCGCATTTCTTTAATTTTCTTTCTCTAAACATTAAAATTCAGTTATGTCTGTTAATATATATATATTCCCCATTACCTACTAATAAACGTATATAACTTTGAATAAATCTTACAAACAATGCCAAGTAAAATAATTTCAAACTATACCTAAAATTAATAAGTAACATTTCGTAAGCTAATTTTGCATTAAAAAGGTAAAATCCGTTTTTTTTTTTAATTTGCTTAAGCCAAGTTACATAATGCTGCTAAAAAACCTATTTTATTTTAGTAACCAAGTCAAAAATATAATTTATTTTAAAGATAATACAAGTGAAAGGTCGTAAAGAATTGGTGTAATTGAACTTCGAGCAAATGTGATTAACCAAATTATGCTGTAAAGATAAATTGTTGAAAGGTTAATAATTCAAAATCTTAAACAACTATTATTCTAAAGAATAAATTAATAAAACAACTGATCTTTACACTGTCGCTACTTTTGATAATATAATCAGTATTGGAACGACTAGGGCTTCTAAAATACCCAATTAACACCAAACTCCCTGGAAGGGCTGCTGTACTTCCCGAGACCCGTATACCATTTTTAACCATACCCCTGCCCTAAAAGTACGATTTGCCCTTATTTCAGAGACAAGAAAATGTAACTTAACTTTCATCTAGAAATGAGATAAAGGTATATGGTACTTTCGATAGGAGTACGATAAAAATTATTATGTACGAAAGAGAAATTGCGATAAATAGTAGATAATTGACATTATTTAGATAAGCAGAAAATCAACTTTTGCATTTCCTACAACAAAATTATTTTTTAGGGTGTGATATTTTGTAACAATAAGAGTTTCATCTTATTAACTATTAACCTATTAATTTTGTTTCAACCCTCTTTAAGTAAATAGTTGTATCTCATTAAAAATAAGTAAACATAACACTAAAATAAGCAAATTAGTAATAATATTTTTAATCAATTTATCAGATTTTAAGCAGTAGTAGTTTCTGTAAGGCAAAAAGTCACCACTGTTGAATGCAGAGATAGATAGATAATAATGCATATCTTTTCTCATTTGTAATTCGATTTGAAGTAAATATCTTTAATTGTAAGTAATAGATGTACTTCACGTTTAGAAACTGTACTACTAAGACATCGCCAGTAATTTGCAACATACATACACGCATGTATATTAATGTCTTCAATACAATTTTGTATAATATCAAAAATAATGTTGTTTTTGATCTGGTATCTAAGACGTTTTACGAGAAGGTCGTTGAATCTAGGGCAAACAAGATAATGTTGTTCTCAACTATTCTTATAAATAAATAATTAATTCGACATTGCAAATCGAGAGATGTGCATAAATAGCATTTATCTTTTTAGGAAGTTGCATCAAACTCAGTGAACGGCAATGCTCATATTAGCGCATCTTGTTTTCAAATTTCAGGACCTGTAAGTCTCACTTATCAATTTACTTTCATTAATAAAGTCGATATTTATTTAAACATTTTAGAACTGATACGTTTTGTTCTTAAATATAAAAAACGTTAAACGCAATGTTGTAATTAAGAATTCATTCACTTAATGTATAAATTAACTACGAGATAGAAGAATTCAATTGTTTTTATATGTATAATTTTAGAAAATGGTCGCAATTATCAACCCAACTCATTTTAAATGCTACCTAATAGAAAAAAATAGATTTTCACCAACTCAATTGTCACATATTACATCCGCAAGTCAAAAATTACACAAAAAGAAACTCTTCAAAAAATCAAAAACGAAGTTAACAACGGATGAGGTAAACGAGTGTATCATGTTAGCTTCATCCACGATAACAATGTAAAATTTTAGTTGAAGTCTCTAGCGGGTCATAAGATATTCAAATCCTGTAAATCGTATGATTCTTATCTACTACAAGTTGTGCCAAAATTTGTGGATCACTCGTTCAAACAAAGAACTAGATACAGGCGTTCCAATTCAAATTACTTCGGAAGAGTTCGAGGACAAACGCAATCTCAATATTTAAGTTTTGGAAACGAAAATACACCCGGAAAAGCAGAGGCAGAAGCCACACATGGGACTTCAAAAGCAGTAGTTTGTAAAAGAATCCTTGCTAATTTCTAATATAAACATTTAATAAAAATTATTTTAGCTGGAAGTAATGGTATAGGGTCTGCACAAAGTCAAACTAATTCAGGAGATTGCGGGGATTGCCTGTACGGAAAGGATTCATCTGTTCAGTCTCTTTATTACGGAAGAGGGCCAGATAGAGGAACGGGTGGTAGTCCCTATGGTCCAACATACACTGGTGCTGAAATTCCACAGAGCCAAAGACAAAGGCCCGGTACAACGGATTTACAAACAGTATCAGGGACATTTCCTTCTGGTTCTCGTCCTTCAGCACAAGATCAAACATTTGGTCAACCGCAAGCACCATATCCAACTGGACATCCTTCTCCAGGACAGCAAACTGGACAATCTTATCCTTCACAACAAATACCGTATCCATCTGGATACCCTACACAAGGACAAATTGGTGTGCCGCACCCAAATCAACAACAAATTGCTGGTCTTCCACAAGGATCTGTTCCACCAGAATTGCCATCACGAAGTCAGATTCCTGGTATGCTGCAGGCGCCTGTTCCGACAGGGCTATCATCACAAGGACAAGTTCCTGGCCAATCACAGGTACCATACCAAGCCAAGGTACCTACTGGAGGTCAAATTGCAGGACAATATCCAGGTCAAACTCAAGTAGCACTTCCTGAGTCTGGATCACCTCAAGACCAATTTTCCAGTCAACCGCAATCACAATATCAACCAGGTCAGTCAACTGGACAATATCCTAGTCAAGCGTCTATACCCTATCAACCAGGAAGAACCGTAACTTATGAACCCAGCCGTATAGAAAGACCTCGTGAAGGGTCTTCTGGCCAGAGACTTCCGTCTGATAATTATCCTTATTCAGCAACAGGCCAAAGATACGATGTTCCTCCTCAAATACCCGGACAATATACACCTTTGACACAAGATATTGCCCAACAATACGGACCTCAGCGAGCCCATGTGCCCGTACAACAACAAGTATCCACTACAGGGGATACTGGTAATGGTAAGTAATGTTCAGTTTATTATATATATCTTCTTTTGAAATCGAAATCATTAGGAAGAGGTGCATGGCAAGGACAATCAGGTCAATTTGGTGGACAAATTTCTGGAACATACCACCCCGGTCAGGCATCGGGACAATTCAGTGGAGTTTTCAGTGGAAAATATTCTCACGATCAGTACGGTTATTCACCTCCAAATGTTTATGGAAGCACAATAGGCGGCTATCCTGGTGTACATACCTACACGCCAGGTAACTCAGGAGCTCAAGCTGGTGGACAAACTGAGCAAGGGCAAATACCATCAAATATTAGAGTATCAGGTTAGTTTAATAGAACTCTTTCCTTTCAATTTACTACTTCATAAAAAACCACAGGAAATTCACCAAGCCAGCAAGGGCCTTTTTCTGGACAAACAGGGATTCTATACCAACAATTAGGAACTCCGGCAAATCAATTAAGTCAGATCAGCCCTACTGGACAAGGAAACGTTCCATCGGGTGCGTCCGGAATCCCAGCAGGACAGGGAGGATATCCTACACAGCAATCAGGACAAACTAGCGTCCCTTCAGGGCAAATAGGACAAACTGGAACCACTGCAGGACAAGTAGGTTATCCTACCGGAACCCAAACCGGTTTTCTTCCAGCTGTATCTGCCGGCTATCCCGGAAGTCAGACGGGGTATCCTACAGGAAGTTTACCAGGTTATTCCACACAACAAGCAGTTGTTCCAACAGGAGGACAAATTTCCTACCCCCAGGGTGGTCTATCTGGTTTTTCTACAGGCGGACAATCAGGCTATCCTTCAAGAGAACAATCAAGCCTCCCTCCAGGAGGACAAACAGGCTATCCTACAGGAGGACAAATAAACTACCCTACAGGTGCACAAACAGGTTACCCTACAGGAGAAACCATTGGACAAGTAAGCTACCCTACAGGAGCTACAGGACAAGTAAGTTACCCTACAGGAGCTACAGGGCAAGTAGGTTATCCTACAGGAGGGACAAATGGGCAAATAGGCTATCCAGGTCAAATAATTGGTTCATCGGGACAGATCGGATATCCTTCAGCAGGACAGACAGGTCAGATAACTGGAACAGGACAAGGTTGGCAAGGGAGTAGTTACCCTCAAGGAACAGCAGGGCTACCTTCACATGCAGGACAGCAACTTACAGGTGGTACAGGAGTAAGTCAATTTGGGCAAGTACCTTCAGAATTAACTGCACCACAAGATAAAGACGAAAAGGACGCTGATTCACAAGCTCAGGCTGAGGTTCAACACGCAAATGAAACAACAGAAGCAAAAGCTCAAGCACAAGGATTTTACGCTGGCGGTACAGCACAGTCACAAGTTTCAGGAAGTTATAGTGGATCAGGATCTTTTAATGCTTTAGCAGGAACAATCGACGGAAAAAGAGGTGCGCAAACACAAGTGGCTGGAGGAAAAGAAGGCGCAACAAGTAATGCTCAGGGAACGGGTGGAGCTGGCTTATCACAAGCTCAGGTACAACTTGCTTCAGAAACGGGAGATACAACTTCAAATGCTCAAAGCAGCGGCTTGTACCATGGTACCAACACACAAGTACAAGCAGGTTCAAAAGGCGGTCTCGCTGATGCACAAGCTACAGGCCCAGGAAGTACTTCCTCTCAAGCTCAAATAGGATTCACCCCCCATAACGAAGAACACGATAACGATACTCAGAATACCCCGTTTAAGGGAGGGGGAACAGCGAGTGCGCAAAGTGGAAGTTACGCTGGTCAAACCCAAAGTCAACTTCAGGGGAAATTTCGATTTGGGGTAAGATATACGGGAGCTGCTCAAGCAGGATCGGGAAGTAAAGATACTGTTAATTCTGCTAGGAATCAAACCAGACCGCCAGGTCTGTCTGGTCTATTTTCCCCGTTTAAACCTATTACTTACTCGTCAGGAAATTCTCCCAACGATGGTAAATCACAACAGCAGGAAGGAAATACATCAAAAAATAAATTTACAGCGAGTACGGCAAACGAAGAAAAAGTAATGCAGAGAAGAATCTCTAAAGTCCATAAACAGTACGAGTCATCACCAACTACCAGTACAACATCAGCAACAATCAGTGAAACAATCGCAACTACTCTTAATCCATTGCTCGTTTATAATACTGTTAAAGCTGATGACTACAATGACGAAGATTATGAAGATTACGATGGCGAAGTGCAAGATACTTCACATTCTGGGGCAGTTATAAGTCAAAACGGTAGAACACAAAGGCAAAACATTATTTTAGATCCGCTCGAAGATTTAGATGCCAACGTTATCCAAAGTAAAGGTGATCCTGATTTAGCGGATGGAACTGTTCTGCAACCTGGTCAAGACATACCAGGAAGCTACGGATATAGAATACCTACAGGATTTAGAGGAAGGGTCACATCTGTAGCAAATAATTCAAATGCTTTTGCTTTGGGACACAATTCTCAAGCCCAGAGTGTATCTTTAAAACCGGGAACGGGAAAAATAGTTTACAGACCACCAACATACGCAATTGGTTTTAACACCCAACTTAGAAATGGAGGAAGATTGGGAATTGGAAGCGGTTATACATATCAGCCAGTTAGTTATCAATTAAAAAGCGCAGATAGCCCTTCAAAATTTGTTTCAGTGACCAAATCTGAAAGTGGTTCTAAAGATATAAGGACAGGAGCAAAAAAGCCTTCAATATTTTACACACAATCTTCAACATGCGGATTTTTTACTAATACATGTGTAATTAAAGGTAATAGAAAAATTTGTATTCCCAAACCGAAAATTAACCCAGATGGATCACTTGCTATCTGTTAGCATATGGAGATACATATTTTTAAGTATTTTATAATCTAATACAATACGCGTGCCTATTAATAAATCCATTTATGTACTTTTATTTTTAATTTTTGAAAAAATCAAATAATCAAATCATATTTATGTACCTATTTGCTGTAATTCTAAAAAGTAGTTGATTTTACAGTTTACAATACATTTAAAACTTTATGAGCATTAAAACTTAGCAAGTTAACGTACGAAGATTAACGAAGTCTTAAATAAAATAGTAATCATGAATATTTAAGAAATTATCAACAAAAATTAATTATATGCTGAAATTTTACTTGTAAACCAAATTTTTTCCTCTTTGTAATACATGCAAGCAATTCCTGTACAAATGAATGGGAAATTCTTTTTTATATGAAATTTGTTTTCTTGTACTTATACAACCAATTTAACTAAATGGTAAAAGTAAATTTATAATAATTTTCTTTCCTTTCAACTATGCAACCAAAACAACTAACAGAACTGGAAATGAACGGCAATATTTTTGTAGAATTTCTTCCTTCTACCTATGCAACCAATTATACATGTGAAATTTTTTAAATGATGATACAATACTAAACTTTTATAGCGCTAATTTGAAAAGATTAATAAATTTAAAACAATGCATTTATATACTTGACCTTTTAAAAAAGTATACTTTTGCTTACCAAACACGAATAGAATCAAAATAAATAGTTTTTAATAACAAAACTAATTAATTACCCAATTGAATATTACACTATATAAGCAAAATTGTAGAAATTTTTAAATCAGAATTTAATTAAAAGAAATCCGCGTTTATGATACAACCAATTACTTTGTGATTTTGTATTTAATCGATTAAATTAAAAGTAGAAAAACAAATGTTGGAGAGAAATGAAATAGAGAACAATGTTTTTAATGAACAATAACACTTATTGTATTAATTTTATGCATAATATAATATCAATTTATGGAATTATTAACATATTTTATAAACAACAGATACAAAAAAAGTAAAACAACTCTTACATTATTCAAACAAACGTATACCTTCATACATTTGAAAAGAAAATATGCATTTACAAAAACTAAGTTTCTTTTCAGCTTATATAAAACGTTAATTCACTTTTAAGGAAGAGATTGCATTATAACAAAAATGAAATTTCACGTTTTTAATAATGGCACATTACAGTATGTTTAAGATAATTAGCATCGCTAGATGGCAGTGGATATTATGCAAATTAACAAAATAATTATACATTTATTTTAAGAGTACGATAAAAAAGGCATTGATCAAAGTCCATTTTATTTCACCTTTCCATTGTCTTGCTACTAAGACATTTTATTTATATTAAGAAAAGGAATTAAAAGTTCGTTTTTGTTCATCTATCTTGTAACCTAATAATAAGAAGAATAATGATGATAAGGCGATGGGGTGGGTGAAGTAACGTGCGGCCTGGCGGTCAAAACAGGGGGATGATAGGGCGTAGGAGATACAGAATAGTTTGGGTAAGGAATGGGAGACAAAGATCCGTTAGGGACTGTAGGTAGGATACGGACATCGGAAAGTAACCGTCCCGGCTCAATTAGTCTACTTTGATCGTTTAAATAACGCGTATCGTCGGCTATCATTCTGGCCTGTTCGACAGTCCCAAAGTGCGACGAATCGCTTTGATCATTGGATAATAATCGATTGGTACTATGATCGGAAAGAACTCGATTATTTTGTTCAGAAACGTTCAATAATCTAGAATGCGTTTCCAAATGTCTAGAGGAAGACAAATCGGTTGTTAATAAACGATTTTGGTCCAGACTAATTCTTCCTGATTCTGACAATAATCTACTTGATGGTAAATTGTGCTCTGTCAACAATCGAGTGTTAGGAATCTGATGAGCATGCAATGGATTACTTCTTAAGCTTAAATCGACCGTGTGTCTTCCCGGTGACGTCAAATCTAACGATACCACCCTTAAGACGTCAGAGTGGGAATAAGTAGGAGGAGGAGGAGGAGGACTGTAGTTCATACGCAAATCAATGGTGGCTCTTTCTACATCAGAATACAAATGATGGTACCTGTTAAGGCTGGCAGCTGCTGCACTCGATGCATGGTAATTATGAAAACTTCTTGCTGTCATATCTATACCTTGTAGGTCTGCTGGTGTAAATACTAAAGATTCGAAATTTCGATCTGCGCGTAATTCGGTATCGATATTATCGTAAGTTTTATTTCTAAGATCGGCATTGTCTAGGGAAGGATAATTCTTATTTCGAAAATCTAAATCTAAATTATTTTCGTAGCCACTTCTAATCTGCAATAAATCACTGGCAAGATCGTACGATTTCGATCTGAAATTTAAATCGAACTCCAATTGCTTGTTGCGCGTATCCAATTCAGAGTCAGAATATTTAGAACGAAATGGTAAGTCTAAATCAGAATTTGCGTATTTTTCATCAGAAGTATTTTCATTAATGGTTTTATTTTCTGAATCCCGAGGTTCTACAACGTCCACTTGAGCCGCATCAGCCGAAAAAAGTCCATATTTGCCATCTTCGTTAAAAATACTTTTGTTTAAATTACGGGATATGTCTTCCACTTCAAGGACATACAACTGCTTATGATCAGGTTCCAAGGAAAGTTTCATTTTCAAATCTTTTCTTGAATGGAACGTAGACGTTTCCAAACCATACGAAGACTTGTATACTGACAAATCTAACTCCCCTTTGGAGTCATGTACACTTAAATTCTGAGCTGTTATACAGTTAGCATTATTGGGAGAAACATGACAAATAGTAACTTCGTTCCCGAAATTATATCTGGGTGGACTGGAACCAGGTGATAAATTTTTAGATTGATCAGTATCGTAATTATTATCTTCTTGTGGCGCGGTGCGATTTCCATTTGTGTAGTCACAACGAAATCCATTGTGTTCTTCGTTTTCAGGACTGTTATTTGAACTGAAATCTCCTTCCTGAAAACTTGAATAGTCGATTCCTACATTTTCGTCATTATGCAGTTCAGTATTAAGATCGTCTGTGACGGAAATATTTCCGTTAACTGAGGGAGAAATTAGACCTATGTTTCTGTGCTCAGTTACATCAACAGAACCACTATAGGGTACATCTGGCAATTCATCGGTATTGGGCAAAGTACATATGTTACTGACTAGAGCGTCTGTACTATTGGGTGTTCCACTAACATCTATGTCAATATTTGAATCATTACAGTTTATATCTGCCACAGATCCAAGGGCAGCTTCGACTAACAAACTAGCATTGGAAGACTCGTGGCGTCCGAATGCATTCAAACCTAACGTAACTTTAGCAACTTCAAAATTTTGAGGCTTTGAACACACAAAGGACGATTTATCAACAGTCTTGAGTGGATTAGTTTCTAAACTGCTTGGATTAAGAGAGTCTAATTGTTCTCCTAACCATTTTTTACTGCCTTTACTTAAAATTTTCATTGTGAAAAGAGACTCTGGTTGATTTGGAGGCGGCGGTGTTTGTATTAATTGCTGAACAGGTTCATCATGTAATGAGGCCTCTAATTCTATGTCACCAGGATCATCAACATTTTGCTCACCTATACCTGAAGAGAGAGCTTTTTAAGTTGTCTGTCTTTATATATAAAGTAACTACAAGGATTTCTATGCTTCTAAACGATGCTAAAATCATGCAGGCCCTGAAGCTTGTAATTGTTCTCATGCACAAACATTTTCAATATGAGTAAAAAACAGATTGTAGAACGTATCGATTTTAGGTTCATCAGGGGAATAAAGCCTTTCTTGCTTGCTTGCCAAGCTAGGGTTGGATGATGACGACAGAATATATATATATATAAATATATATATACAGAATAGGATTAATTAATGTTCAATTACATATGTTACAACATACACAAGTCATTTCACAATAATAACTAAATCGCGAAATGCGCTTTAGAAAGATCATGAAGTATGTTGTTTTGCAATAGCAAATATTCTACCGAATTTTATATATGCAATACTGAAAAACTTTCAAGTTTTCAGGAGGAACAGAAGGAAAAGTACATACGTCTATACAAGGTGGCACTGTTCACATGACTAAAAGCACAGCGAGTTTAGAGTAAAATCAGTGCAAGTAGCGAGCATTTGACCCGGTAAATGTATAATGCAGGTATGTAGCCATTTTGAATCTTTAATAATTATTTTAAAATATTTTCCTTAATAATTAGTTTTCTGAGCATTGGATATTGGATATAATTAAAGCAAAGCTGCCACTTAACACTGGAAATAAAAAAAATAAACTTACTGTCCTCGTTTTCTTCGTTATCATCGTTATCACAGTCGAATGAGTTATCGGGTGTAGTAAAATCTTTATGTTCATTCTCCATGTTTTCCATGCCACTGTAAGCTTCGAAAGTGTAATCAACGGATCGCTCTATTTTGGGCATCACCTCTTCGGTAAAACCGTGAGTTTTTTTATAATGAAATTGCAAACATTGTTTAGTTGTAAAAGCAGCATTACATTTGTCTTCTTTGCATCTGCAATTTTTACAATAAAATCAACATCAAGTAAAATAAAACACTTATACCTAAATGTGAAAATTCATTTTAACTTTTTTCATCTACAATAAATTACTTCAAGTTAACGAGATAATGAGGAAAACACCCGACGAGTGTGTGACAACAGCAACAAATTTTTCCTCATTATCTCATTAACTTGAGGTAAAAAAAAAGTAAAAATGAATTTTCACAATACTATTGACCACTATTAAATGTCAAAGTGTTTCATATGGTATACCTAAATGGTTTAATGCCGCTGTGCGTTAACATATGAATTTTTAAATTTGACTTATTTTGAAAAAGTTTTCCGCATCGATAACAAGCGCATGAGCCTTCAATTTGCTTGTTATGTACTTCTTTTAAATGTCTCTGAAGGGCTGCACGAGACCCCAAAACTTTCAAACAACTCTTACATTGGAATTCTTTCAAAACTTCAGAAATGTCTGAAAATAAAAAAGTAACAGTTATCATGCAATTGTATGATATTATAGACATATAAAGCATTTATTGGTCTATTATAAAAAGTAACAGTAGAAATAACAAAGCAATTTCTTACCATTATGCATTCTTTTAATGTGTATTTTTAGCTTCTGTGGTTGACAAAACTTTTTCCCACAAAAGTCGCACAAAGGCCACGTCCTGTGAGGATTAGCTGAGCACCCATATGTTCTGTGCATGTCCAGATAATTCAATCTCAAGAAAAACTGCAAAACAGAATACATTTCAACTAAAAAATACTGTTTTATTGTTGTTTCAAACCACCTTTTTACAAAACTGGCACTGATAGGCTCCTTGACCATTATGAAGCTCAGCCGCATGCTTCATTATATTTTCTTTGCCTAAAACTGCAGCTCCACATACTTTACAATGAAATTTTCTTATTGTTAAACTATAACGTATGTCGTGAAAAATTGTACAGTGAGTTCTATAATATAATGGGTGAGTAAACACCATATTGCAACCTCCACAATCTGGAAACAAGAAATTTAAAGAATAATTTCAAGTAAATATAATTACAAAATTTTCTAATATAGTAAATATATTATTTTGAAATATGTCCCAGCATTTGCCTAAATGATCCAAAGAATTACAGAAAACTTGGATTAAGACAAATGGACCCAGGCTCAGTGCTAAGCTACGATCTAGAACTTTTATCAATATTTAAAACAAGCTTACTAGTTTTTCCCATTTTCTTCTTATTCAAATTCAAGTTGTCATCCTGCCAATACAAAACTTCTTCTCCCTGTCCAATAGTTTTTATAGAAATCAAAAACAATGAATTGTTTCTACATACAGCAGTTGTGTTTCTCTGTTCCCTTGTAGGAGCCGGTCTCAAGTATCGAAACCAATTACATTCATTTAAATAATCAGTTCTCCAATATGTATATGAGTCTTTACCAAATATCATCCATAACTCTCTCATTGGAAAGTCTTCTGGTATGTCAACTTCTTTTACTGATTTAGCAATTAAAGGTCCAAACTGGGTAAATGAATTTATTACAGATTTTGCAAAAACACTAATGCCATGTGATGTATTGGAATCCAGCAAGCAAAAGATTTTAGGTAATGACATGTTTGAATAACTTGAGTCTGTAAATTCTTCTGAAAGCGATTTATTAGCAATATTATAGTTTTCATCATCTTCCTGCTGCTGTGAGTATTTAAAAGTCCATTCTTCTTTAGAGATTCTGTCACAGATTGAAGACACTGGGTCTTCTAAGGGACAACGGTATTTTGAATGGCTTGTATCACAATTTGAACACATTTTGGACTTCTTTGTTTTTTTATTATTATCTTCATTTTTACTTTCAATAATAGAAGTTGCTGAATCAAGCAATGAATCTTTTTTGGTAGATATTTCTTCTATCTGTTCTTGCAATTCTGGAGCCTTACGAACGTCATAAGTCCGAATATTCTTTTTCTTCTTATTGGACCTTTTCCTTTCATGGTTTTTAGGTACATTTTCTACATTTGTTCCAATAAGGGTGCTATTTGCTGGTTTTCTTTTTCTTTTAGTATCATCATTAATATCACTCTTGTCACAGTCTATCTCAAAATTGTTTATTTTATTTTCTGAATCAATTATATTAGTGTGTAAATCAATTAAGTCATCAGATTTAGTAACATTAGTATCACTTATAGTTTGCTCAGTAAAGTCACAAAGTAAATTATTAAATTCGCAAAGGGTTGAATTTTCACAGACAGTTTCATACAGATTTTCTTTTTGAGGTTCCTTTGGCTTATTTTCTTTATTTTTATTTATCTCAATCACTGCCTTCTTAGAATTCTTTCTCTTAGTTTCCACCATTCTGTATTCTACTGATGGCTTTACACTATTTTCAGTCAATGTTGTTTTATTGAATTTTCTATTTACAATTAGTTTTTCATCGTTACTAAAAATATAAAACGTATGTACAGTAAAAAATTCTTATTAAATTATCATGAAATAAATTAAAAAATTAACCTCAAAAAACGTAAACAAACTAATAAGCACATGGCTTTGTTTTTATTGATCTGTCAAATATGCTCCGCCTGCAAATCGAACAGTCAATCGCCAACCAAAAAATTATCACATTGAATAAATAAGGATATCAAACAGAAAAATATTAATTCAAAGTTTACCTGTGATGATATTTCTGTGCCAAATCAAGTAATTTAGTGACGAATTCTTCATTTGAAATACATAAAAAGGCTTTTTTTAATTTATTCCATCTCTTGACATTTGAAGCACCAACAATAATTTCAAGAAGGTTGTTATTATTTTTGCGGCTAAAATTCACTTTTGCACCGAATATTTTATTGTCCCCGCACTGCTTGTTATCCTTTTTAAACTCCTTAAACATTTCTTTTCTAATTTCGTTGCTTTATTCATGAAATAATTCATTTTTTGTACCCATTTACACTAGACTATCTTCTATCTACTTTATGTTCAAGGACAAGCTTTAGTGTTTATTAAGCGGGAAATTCAATTAA